TAGGCTATTATCTGAAATAGTTGTGTGTTTAAGTTTAAGTTATTTTAACAATATATAATGTAAAATATAAAAAAATTGATTATGAAAGAGGTTAAACTGCTGCATTTTCACAACATATTGCTATATGTAAGTAATATTGTACTGTTAAAGAATCTGTGTCTGTGTATAATAATCTGATAATTTTTTCTAAACGTTATAATAAAAATCATACATTCAAAAAAAAATTTATTAAATTGAAAATTATTGAACACAAAAAAGTATTGTCAATTATTCATAACTTTTGGTGATAAGTTAGTCAACCAATTTAAATATATGAATACACACTGAAAGAAAGGAAAATATTAAATTAACCTAATATTTATTATTTTTATTATTATAATTAGGTTTATTTGTTTTTTAGAGTTGTAAACAGTTTAATGATTAAGTTCATGAGAGTTATAATGTATATCGGTTAGTATATGGTTTCTGAATAGTTATGGCATCAATTTTTAAATTCGGTACTGAAAAATTTCATAACACTATCAAAATCGAGTAAAAATATCATTGAAAAACCTTAAAACATATCATACTATGGAATTGTATTTGATTCGGCCGTACGCTGTGGCAAAAACAACCTCCAACTTAATGTCAATATTTTCGTGTCACACTCACTAATTGCGCACGTACAAAATAGTTGACCGAATAGAAAAATCATCGTTTTCGTTTAAAAAATTAATAATTTTATTTATGATGAATTTATAAATATCATGTTCCTTGACCGCATAAGCGTAACTAGGCTTTAGATTCGATCCCCAGACTTTCCCACAGCCCCTCCAGAATTTTTGGGTAAATATATGTGCCTATAAACATACTAATATTAACTTAATAATTATCTCAATCATAATAAATAATAATCATAATAAAAGCTATATCATATTGTTTTTGTTAGTTTATATTATTATACATAATTATATTATCGATTAGACATTCGACATATTTGTTTACAGATTCTTGATACAGTTATATTAATAACACTTTATAAGACATAAGACGTGTATTTATAATTTTTCTTTTCAGAATATTGAATTCACATTAAACATTTTTAAATTTACCTACATTATTGAATGGAATCGTGGAGAGATATTNAATAGAAGAAAAAGTCGATATAGATAACATAAAAAACTCTGAAATGTTAAAAGAATACAAAAATGAACTAAAAAACAAATTAAAGGACGGAATAGAGGCAGAAAATATTGAAACCCGTTGGAAAAAATTAGAGGGAATAATAAAAATAAAAACAGTTATTTTTATTATTCCCTCTAATTTGTGATCTATGGCATAAAGAAGAAATACCAAAAGAATGGCAACTAGCAATAATCTGTCCAGTTTATAAAAAGGGAGACAGGTCAAGCTACCAAAATTACCGAGGAATATCGTTGCTAAATACAATGTACAAAGTATTGTCAGGTCTCATACTAAACAGAATAATACCTTACATAAAAGATATCATTGGAGACTACCAATGTGGTTTTATGAATGGTAAATCCACCATAGATCACATTTTCACTGTAAACAACTAGTTGAGAAACATTACGAATTCGACAATGATCTACATCTACTATTTATTGACTATAAACAGGCTTATGATTCAATTAATAAAGAAGTACTATAGGACACACTTATAACCTTTGAGATACCGGCTAAAATAGTGAAAATGATCAAATTATGTATGAATAAAACCATATGTAAAGTTAGATTCAATCAACATATATCAGATTAATTTGAAGTTAAGACTGGACTTCGACAGGGAGATGCCCTATCCCCATATGAGAAATTATATCGTAATCTTTACCATCAAAGAAAAACTCAAAAATAATGTGGTTGGGTAAACTTGGAAGAGAACAGAAGACAATGCGGAGAACTAGCGTACGCAGATGATATTATCATATTAGGATCAAACAGTCAAGAAGTCAAAGCAGGAACCAAAGAACTAATAATAAACAGCAAAGACATTGGGCCTCAATGGCCTTTAAAAAACCGATGAAAAAGAAGACATTCGACATATGTGTTTACAGATTCTTGATAAAATTATATTAATAACACTTTATTGGACATAAGACGTGTATTTATAATTTTTCTTTTTAAAACATTGAATTCACATTAAACATTTTTAAATTTACCTACATTATTGAATGGAATCGTGGAGGGATATTTATTTGAAACTATAGGCATAATAATACTAGACACAAATATACGGTAACGCAGATATTATATTATTATAAAGCTATAAAAATCCCTAAAAAAAAACAAAGCATTTCTATACATTATTAATTATTAATAAATCTAAATGTATTCATCGTTTTTCTAGATAATACATGTAAATTAAAACTTATAACTGTGCGGGGGGGGGACGTATGAATCTAGTTAAAGGACTAGTTANTGGAATAATGGTGTAGTAAGTAGGGTATTAAATTGATCACATTTGAGAAAATATATGGACACGCGTAGCATCCATATAGTATACAAGATTTCCAATAGAAATTTGCCATCATGACTGCATTAACTAATGTAAATACCAAAAAATTTATTAAAATTTACTTAATTTTTTTAAGTAACAAGTTTCACCACAAATTTGTCGCTATAGATACGTATCAAAATGAACATGATATTTCACATTTTTTATCGTCTAACTAATAACCGACCATCAGCAAACTCTCTCACCAACCTCTTGCTAACCAACAACGAAAAGATACAAAAATTCATTAAACTCTTTAATAAAAAAAGTAATCGTGTTACAGTAACCAACTCATAAAAATTTTAGCAGTAAATAGTTTGATTGTGGTTACAACGCCAAATACGCATATTTTATCAAAACAAAATAAATTTTGAAGTGTTTACATAATTGAAATTAATAATTTGTTATTCATTTAAAATTTCTAATTTACTTTAAAAATACTATACCTTATCATTCTACTGGTTCTAGTGTTATAAATCTTGATAAAATTTAAGCAACTATGTTTGTACCAATCACAAAACATATACAAATATATAAAAAAAAAAAAATATATACAAATATATACCATGAATCTTCATTAAAATGTGGCATTTGATTCTAGAAACTATTGATGATTGTTTTAGTATAATGTTCTTTTTTAGCCATTATTTTTATCGTTAATCTTTTATTTCTATATTTTCAGCTACAACTTATTTTTCTTTATGTGCTGTTGAAGTTTTCCGTGTGGTCCAATACTTTTTGCATTCAATTACCACTGATTCATCGAACAATACAAATAATATTTAAATAAATATAGTTTGCTTTATGAATATATATAAGTATTTTAGACACAAGTTCCTTCCTAAATAGCCTTTGACAGTTGGTTCACGTCTATTGAGCAAAACTTTTGCTCTTACAAGAAAAATATAAATTGTATTGAGTTGTGTCGATGACTAAATGTCAGAAAAAAAAAAGGAGGAATAATAATTTTTGATAATATTTATAATATTGCTATAATAATTTCATAATATTGCTTATTCATAGGTACTTTCTTTATTATATAACTAATACGTTTCTCGTTACGATCTGAATCTAAAATATAATAACAAGTACTTAGGCATTTTAATATAATATAATTACATATAAAAATTAAAATTGTAAATATAGAAATGCTGTGAATTCCGAACGACCATGACTATGAGTTCATTGCATTAGCCGTTTCCGCATGCCATTGACAGCAAAGTTTACTATATTTATGTAGTTAAACACCAATTAAATATTATATTTAAATGCGTAATAATTAACGAGTTTGTGTATTATTTTATTGTAATAGAACAGAAATAAAGAACGGCATGCATTGGAAAATAAAATACCGGATGTGTTTTTTGTTCGGTGCGAGAGACGAGGATATAACATTTATGATCTTTATCCTGTGTAGGAGGTAATAATTAGTATAGGAGTAAAAACATTTCGGGCATTGAGTTCTACGTGCCAATATCTTATTTTAATTTTAAATTATACTGTACGTTAAATAGCAATTGAACAAAAAGTAGTTGTAAAATTGGTAATATTTAAATTTAAACTTTACATTAAAATATCATACAATCATATTGAACAATATATATTTTTTCTATTTTTAATATATTTATCTTGTCCTTTGAAAAACATATAAGAATTATCCTTATCTTAATCTTTANTAAGTTTATTTTATTAAATCGATAGGATATTGGATATGGGTTCTTTTGGTATCTACTGTAATCACTTTTGTTTTACTGTATACGTTTGTTCTATATTTTATATATTTATCCTGTCCTTTGAAAAACATATAAGAATTATCCTTATCTTAATCTTTAAATAAAATATATTGGTGTTTCAATTATGAAGTCTTATTATCAATATTTCTATCAGGAAATACTTAATCGAATTTATTATTTACATCTTCCAATTCTTCTTGAATTTCACTTAATTAATCCCGTGTTTCATCAGACCATTTTTTAAGACCATTTGGAGATAAAATAAATGATAATAAAAAATTACCTAAATTAACAACAACTCTATATGATAAGAAAAAATATATTCTACTAATATATTCCATTATATAAGTTTAGGTTTAAAATACATAGGGTAATAAAATTTTATCAAAAATATTTATTGAAACCATATATATATAATTTAAATCAAATCTTCATGGAAAAACAGATAATTAATTTGAAAAAGATATTTTTATTTCAATTTTGTTTTTTAGGTAATGAACAACAATGTATTTGGTAGGACTATGATGAAAAAAAGGAACCTTAGAAATATAATATTACTTAATGATGGGAAAAAATTGGAAAAATTGATTGCTAAAACAAATTTCGATTGAGTGACTACTTTTATAGAAATCTTAGTAGCTGTGCATATGAAAAAAACTACGGTTAAACTAAACCAAACAATTTTTTGGGGAATATGTAGTTTAGATTTATCTATGGCTCAAATTAAGGATTTTTATTATAATAGATTGAAAAAAGTATTTCCAGAATGAAAATTAAACTAAAGTAAATTCCATGGATTCTATTTTTCTCAGCATTTGAAAAGCAGCTAAATTCTTGGCCTGTCTTTTGGTCTTGTATGTAGCTGTTTCAACCATTTGAGCTACTTGACAACTAAACGTATACAATTTAGTGTGTGGCTTTCCTTCTTCCCGTACTAGCTCATAAACTGGTTTTCCAAGATTGTTAATGACACATAAATTGGATAAACTGCCAACAACGTTTACTTTAATATTGTTACAAATATCAACTTGGTTTCCAAAATCAATTTGCTTAAATTCAGTTTCAAAAATACGGGGATTATGTTGCTTTAAAACGTTAAGCATATTTAAAGCTACTTGATGTTTAGCACTTTTTTTTGAAGTTCCATCACCTACAGTTTGATCGTCACCTAATGTTAATCTATACTTAAATACATTGTTTGATGATGGATCATTATTGTCTATGAGGTCAAATTTACAAGGGATATTCCTTCTGGTAGCAAATTCCTGAATCATGGATGCTGGAGTCTTTTGGAATGAACTGATATGCACACATCCATCGTGTAAATCAATTCCTGCTTGGTTATCCATTTCCTATAATACAAAATAGGACACTTTAAATTAAAAAAAAGTGCTTAAATTTCTAATATTGAAATTGGATATAAAATTATTTTTTTATTTTTGAAAATATTATCATTTTATTCATAACCAATGATATTATTTAGGTAAAAATGTACATATTATGTTGGGAACATAAAAAATTATAATTATAACCCTTTTTTTAGTCTATTTCAATACCAATGCATAATTATGATTTTCAAACCCTGAAGCGATAATAACTGTACAATATAAGTGTCAAATTTTACAATGTAGTTTAATGTAGAACTTATTAATTTGGTTTTATCATCAGATGTAACTCGAAGCCAGATTTAGAATTTAATAGAAACCCACAAAAATGCACATGAAAAACAGAATAAAACCATAAATTAAATTAAAAATTGGAAGAATATTAAATATGATTAAAAATTACGATTTAACTTTAATAANGATTGAAATAAAAATTTCTAAACTACAAATATGATTTTAAAAGTAACTCTTTTATATAACATAAAAGAATTTATTAGGGAGAAATTTTATTGCATTGGTCAATTTTTATTTTTAAAAATATTATCATTTTATTCATAACCAATGATATTATTTAGGTAAAAATGTACATATTATGTTGGGAACATAAAAAATTATAATTATAACCCTTTTTTTAGTCTATTTCAATACCAATGCATAATTATGATTTTCAAACCCTGAAGCGATAATAACTGTACAATATAAGTGTCAAATTTTACAATGTAGTTTAATGTAGAACTTATTAATTTGGTTTTATCATCAGATGTAACTCGAAGCCAGATTTAGAATTTAATAGAAACCCACAAAAATGCATATGAAAAACAGAAAAAAACCTTGAATTAGAAACTTAAATTAAATTAAAAATTGGAAGAATATTAAATATGATTAAAAATTACGATTTAACTTTAATAAAACTTTCAAAATAAGAAAAATGATTTTTAAAAAGTAACTCTTATATATAACATTAAAGAATTTATTAAAAAGAAATTTTATTGCATTGGTCAATTTTGTAGTATTAGAAATTTAATTTATTCAATTACAGTCATTTGAGAGGAGACTTTTAATCTCTTATCCCGTATTTCATTTTTAAGATGTATGTTATTGCAATATTACAGCAAATTTTTAACATGTTAGAGAGCCTTTTTGTGTATTATAAGGGTATATATACTAATAAAAATTACATACTATATCAGTTGTCGCTTTTTTTGAAAGTTGTACTTGAGATTTATTAATTTCAATATTCTCCAAAATCTTTATTGGATCGTTTCGGTTTAGTACAGGAGTCATTGATCCGTGAAATTCCATGGATTCTAATTTCTCTAACATTTGATGAGCCGTTAAATTCTTGGCCTGGCTTTTGGTCTTGTATGTAGCTGTTTCAATCATTTGAGATACTTGACAACTAAACGTATACAATTTAGTGTGTGGCTCTCCTTCTTCCCGTACTAGCTCATAAACTGGTTTTCCAAGATTGTTATTGACACAAAAATTGGATAGTTGGCCAACAAAGTTTACTTTAATATTGTTACAAACATCAGCTGGGTTTTCAAAATCAATT